CTTAGGCTTTCTTCTTTCTTTCAGAGTAAGAAAGGGAAAGCAAACGAATCGAAGCGGGGAGGCTTGAAAGGTCCTTCGAGGCTCGTAAATGAAGATGAGAGTGAGGTATAACAAGGCCATTTCTATCCACCGCCCTTCTCATGGAGCCGTACATGGACGTAACTGGGAAAATAGACTAGAGAATCTTTTCTTTCGGAGTCAAGGCAGTTTGAACTGAACCCCAGCTAGTATTGAGATTGAGAGTCGTAATGGTGAGTTCGGTCAGGAGGGACAAAAGAGAGATGCTTTCTATCAGTAAAAAAGCAAATATCGCCCCCATGCTCCCACGGTCCGCTTACCGAGGAATAGAAAGGAAGGATCCGGGGCCAGAGCAAGTTGGGTTGGGGTATAGAGCCGTAAGCGCGGTGGGGGGTGACAAAGGACGTGCTCGTACGTTTCATAGAAGGATATGAAAAAGTACTTTTTTGTTGGGAACTTTCACTCCTCTATATTCGAAATATGCCTCTCTAGGAGCATCACGATCTACAGTTCAAATGGTCCCTTATGAAGTCTCTATTGGTCTTATTCTTATTGTGCGCATTGCTATGGTCAATAAACAGCCTTAAAATGGTTTCAAATGACCTTAAGGAGACCTCGGAGCAGCACCTTTCTCGTTCGAAGGATCTATGAAAAGAACGTCCCACTACGAATTCCTATCCCATTAATAAAGTACTGATAAATAATAGAGCAAGAAATGCGTACTTCCAGAATAAGCCTATCATCTTTCAATAGTTCCAACCTATTCTTTCTACCTCCATTCAGAGTTCTAAGGATTGACCAATTGAATAACACTATTTCGAATGAAAACTACCCTTTAGGGGGAAGATGAAGGGTAAGAGAAGCACTAAATAGCACTGAATAGGGAGCCGCCAAATACCCTAGCTACGCCTAACATATGAAATGAGTGCATAAGGATGTTGTGTTCAGCCTGGAATACAATCATGAAATTGAAAGTACCAGAGACTCCTAGAGGCATACCATTAGAAAAACTTCCTTGACCGATTGGGTTTTTGGGGATTCCATTTCGATCTAAGCTCGGAAACCCATATCTTTACACGAAATTACTTCTTTTTTTAAAATTCCTTTCCTTACAGTCAAGTGGCGGAACACCCTTCTCTTTCTACTAGTTCTTACATAAGCAATTTGCAGGAAGTACACGAAGTCTTTCCTTCCAAAATCCACTTTTGAAGTCACGTCTTTCAGTATTGGGACTGATGTAAAGTACTTGAGAGGTAACATAAGCAGAAGAACTGTGATTCTCACAAGTGGAAAAAATGCTTTTCGAAACCTTATCTAAAAATCCAATCTTCCATTCTGCTACTCATACGTTCTTTTATCCAAGTCTTCTTCATTTTCACCTGCAACCAATGCTGAGACTGCTACTTCCACCTTGCTTTGGATAGCTTTTAACTTATGGGGCGCTTAGGCTTAAAAGCGCTCATCAAACAAGTGCGCCAAAAAAAGTGGGATGTGGTCTCGTATTCCCAATAGGAACACGCCTGCTTTTAGCTCGTAGTTTCACTCTTGCTTTTCTTTAGCTGCTTGGATGAGAGAGGACTCAGAGTAGAGACAAGCACCCTCCAAACAAATAGGCAGGGGAGAGATCCTTACTAATACATTCTAGATCCGCTTAAAAGACAAAGCAAAAAGCATTATACCCAGGTATAAAGTGATAGACAGTCTAAGAGAGTGCCAAGAAAGAACACAACCCTCAATTCATCTGACTCAAGGAGAAAAAGAGAACAAGATGGGGGGGGGGGGGCTTGCCTCCTCGTTCCCTTTTACCTATGCCATGATGCTCATGGGCAGCTTATCTCTAATTGGATTTCCTTATATTTCTTCTTCAAATTATGAGTTGAGATTTAGGAAGAGTGGATAGGACAGGGTGGTGGATGACGTTAAGGAAGGGAAGGCCCATCCCGTGCTTTTGAGCGATTTCTCCCGCAAAAGGCAGATCTTTTTTTTTCATCCCAAATATAACAATTGAATAGGGACTTAGATGTGACCAATGTGCTTGCAAGCTTAGGGTTAGCAGGTTGTTCACTGGGAGAGCTGGTAAAAGAATGAAACCTTCAAGAGACCATGGTTAACAAGCTAGCTGAGGAAGAACAATCTCGAAGGGGCTGAAATTCGACGCATAGCTTTTTGGTTGTTAAGTTATAGCAAGATTGAGCAACATCTAACAGATCTAGTCCTTCTGGTTTGCACTAAAGTGGCTTAAGTAGCCCTCGAGGAGTCCGTTTATTCTCTCTGTCCGACCTACGACATCTGACCATAAGAAGATCATTCTCCTTCCTTTTTTCGGAAGAAAGGTGAGATCCGAACAAAATCAATGAAACGGAAGAAATCTCTCGTGCTTAAGACATGAGAATTGGAAGGGCACACAGGGAATGAATGGGAAGATTGAAAAGTTGGAAGAAGAAAGGACTTTTTGGTTAGACATGTGGATGGTTTTGTGTCTATTACCAGTTCTTCCTCCTGAGTTGAGACCGATCATTTACATAGATGGGGGACAAGTCTCCTTTACCGAAGGGTTCCCACAGAGAAGTCTTGCTCTGGCTTGAGGGGCGTCAAAATCCTTTCTATTGGTTCTTGCGTGGCAGCTGGTATAGATGATGAAAAGCGGGCCGCTTTTTTAGGACCTCGGGTGTCCCTTGCCCAAGGCTATTTCCGAGGCGGTTCTTAAGGCCCAATTCCAAACGGAATTGAAAACCGAGGAAGCCCAAAGTACAAGCTTTCTTTGAAGCTCCTACAACATGGGATATTTGAAGAATCCCCTTTCTACAAACCTTTCTATAAGATAAGAGAAGCTCTTCAAGCTTTCTTCGCATGCTTGAGCGCATCCCCTTTCTATTAGTAAGGTCGTTAAATTTCCTTTAGTTTCTTTATGGCTATAATCTAAATAATAGGGGGTACCAGGCATGTGATCGATTGGAAAGCTCCTTCCCTTTTTCGCCTGGAAGAGGGTCAGTCTCAAAGCAAATGAAAGAGGTTCCAAAACTCTTTGCGACCTCATCACTTTAATCTCCAGAAGAGACTTTGAGTCTCCTAAATCTTTCATATCAAATTGGGTTCTTAATCTTCTCTTAAGCTCATTTATCGAAGCTAAGCCTTCGATTTTGGAATTAAGGGAAAAGCTATATAAAGTAAAACTAAGGTAGTCGCCATAAGTCAGCTTTTCTTTTTCGGTATGCCGCTCCGCGAGCAAGGAGTTCCATGCACAAGTGGAGCAAAAAGAAAGGAAGCCAAGCTGTCGTCTATAGGCGAAGGGACGAAAGCCTATGCTACAGTAAGCAAAAAAGTAGGTTGAGGTTATGAAGTCACTTAGCCATATACTATACAAAGGGAAAGGCGTCGGTACGGAGTCACGTTAGCCAATTACAGAAGTAAATAATGAATCACTTATTTGGAGGGCACATGAATATTTTCCAAAAGCACTTTTTTCTTCTTCTTCTTCTTTAGAATATAATTTAATCAAATTGTAATTAAAATGTCAACTAAGAAAGCTCTTGTTTTAATCTTACTTATAAGTTGTAGCGTTATGGAGTCCAAATTTAATTCAGAAAAGAATAACAATGCATAAACTTACATATATGATTTTTATTAGGAGAAAAGGACAACTACAAATATAAACTATCGTAAATGGTATGTAGATATTCAGTAATATTTCTGAAACATTAGCGTCCTTGTCATTCAAAAACTAGAGCATATATACATTTTATATTAACAAAAGACTAAATAGGGACACGTGTCATAATTTTATCAACCGACCTGACATGGTTAAAAATATCCCAAAAATATGATGGTGAATATGTTCATATCATTTACGATAGTCTGAGGTATATTTGTCATTTTTCCGTATTTATAATTTTAACCAATTACATCAAAGAGTGTAACAAATATTATTGTAAAACATTAACTTGGCGTTGGTGTTAGCCAAGTATTAGAATTAATACTTTCTTGTCTTTATGTTTTTGTATGATATACAATGTAATTATTGGATATGAAAAATCAAATGCTAATTTTACTCGTAATAGTTATAGCATAGGAAAAATGTAAGTATTATAATTTATAAAAGTAATGATTGTGGCCTATATAAGTATTATAATTAATAAAAGTAATGATTGTGGTCTTGTTTGGCTACTAGGTTGGGGTGGGGGTTCCATCATATGAATGTTGCTTGCATTCACTTAAAATATTTGTGTGATACAAAGGAAGTTAATTTTATCGTGTGAGTCACTTGCTATCTAACCTCCAATTTTTTAGCTAAAAGAAGATTAGGGTATATTATCATGTATATCTATGTGCATGCTTGCATATTTTTCTATATCTCCCACACACACACACACACACATATATATATATAAAGGAAGTTAATTATATCGTGTGAGTCACTTGCTATCTAACCTCCAATTTTTCAGCTAAAAGAAGATTAGGGTATATTACCATGTACATCTATGTGCACGCTTGCATATTTTTCTATATCTCCCATATATATATATATATATATATTCGCGTTTTTTGATATACATATTATATACACGTAATATATATTTATTGTGGTGATTGTTTTCCCTGTCGAATTCAACTGTCTTTTACTTCAAACCAAAACGTCCAATCTTCTTCATGTTCTGCGTAATTTGTTTTCATTCCATTGCGTATAAATGGTACATGCATAAGTTATACAAAAATCTATATATTATTTTATAAGAATATGATATGTTTTGTATAACTTAATACACTTGAATGCTTGTTATTTTTCTCAAGTGTATATGTTTGGTAAACTCATTTTATTGGGCTCTTGTCTACACAAGGATAATTATATAGACTAAGTTGCTGAAATAAAACCACTCAAATGCTGAACTGTTTGTCAAAATTATTTTGTTTGGTAAAACAGAGTAATGGGATCAACATTCAACAATATTGTAAAGAACTGAATGAAACTAGGAAGAGTAATAGCATAGTAAAAATGTTATCCATTTTTATTGAAACCATTGTTAACCGGCTCATATCCGAGACAAAGGGGATTGTGGTGGTTCTTATTACAAGTATATTAAACTATCAACTTGGGATTTTATTGATTCGTTGCATACAATGAAAGAATGAAGTTACAGAAACAACATATTTGGTTCATGCTTAAAACTTGAGAGAAACGATAAAAGTCAAAAATAAGATTTACATAGTTTCACAAGACACCTAAAGTTTAGATAGGGTTAGCTTGTGTTGCAACTACTTATCTCTCAGTAAGGTTCAAATGAAGCAAACACTGGAATAACACAAGAAAGCAGATTCATAAGATAACTCGTGTAGATAGCCATACCTGTTGCAGCCCCACCAAAGTATCTTGGATTCAGCTCCATAGGGCCTGCTAGATAGCGATAGCTAGATGTTAGAAAGTGCAAAATGAACGTATGTAGGAGCTGCTATTGAATCAGGTCTTCTTGGATGGCTACAACTAATGAAAAGTTTCCGTCAAGCTGCATGGGATAACCCACTGCAGACCAAAAGGGTTTAAGAACATACGTCAAGACGTCTCTAGCTTGTCTACTGGACAATGCACCAACAAATAGCTCGCATTCTCAGTACCTTTATTCCTCTCTTCGTAGTTAACATTAATGTAGTTAACTCTGTGTGAAACTGTGAATCAAATACAAACAAGTCTTTTGGTTCCAATAAGATGGAAGTGATCCCGAAGAATAGCCATCCCTAACAAACCAACATAACGAATAGAGGAATCCAGATTGCCTCTACTGCTTTAGTCACCTGGTTAAAAGATCATCAATTAGTCTACAAAGTATAATTTCAAATGCTCAATAAACATCCCTCTGCAAATGTGAACAGATTCCTCTCTTCTCGCAATGCCAAATTCTTCTTAACTTTCATTAGTTTTATTTACTCCGTAAGATCAAGTTTGAACATTTTTTAATTTAGAAACCAAACTAGATCTGTCTAAAAAAAATTGTCTTCCTGTTTTTTTCTTTATTGATTTTTTTTAGTAGCAACTCGACAGTAGCACACAAGTCACTGTCAAATTTAAGGTACCATTCAGGTTACGTCGTTTCAAAGAAAAATGTTCCAAGTAAATGAAACTTTGTTTGATAAACAATTTATTTCATATTTTTTGTTTTCTAAAGACATGAACTATAAATTTGCCATGCACTTTCATTTTAATTCAACGGTAGGTCTAGAATTAATGATTTACAAATTGTCATACAAATGTAAAGTATATCAAATAATTAAGTAAATAAAGAAACTAAGTAGAAACTTGCGTAAATCATGGTTCAAAAACACAAGAAAAACAAGTATGATAGCACTAGGAAATGAATGTTGCTTCAGCTTCTATTATAATAAAACCAAAATGATTCACTGCAAGAGCAAGATACTAGAAGAACAAATGATTTCCATTTATTCTACAGGCCCTTGGATTGTTAGAGAGTTAAGAACCAAGGCATTGTTTAGCTTACCTTACTTGTATTATTGATCATCACTGCACCATGTTCTCTGATGTTCTCCATGGTCTCCGATGTTCTCCATTCTGCAAGATCATTTTCATAGTAACTACATATCTACCCATATCTTGTATCAAATCTACATTTCAATTGTATATTCTCCGGCGAAGAAAACGAGACTTTTCATGCATTTCAATTGTATATTCCACTAAGATGAACACAAGAAAAACAACCACGAGATTTTTCCATTACGATAGTCAAACCAATAGTAGATTCAAATCCCAGACTCACAAGGATATTAGTCTTTTATGATGTAATATTCATCATACCCGAAAGAAATATACTATATTTAGAAATATCTCTTGCTCTATGGACTCCACCCTACCATAGCTTATTTAGAGTTGTCCAACAATCTCTTATACCATGTTTTTCTTCTTTCTCTCTTTATCATTTCTCCGTGTAGTCACACCTTTCCTATGAAAGGAAAAACCCCACACTTTCAAGGCTAAAAGGAAGGTCTTTAGCATAATTTACGGTTTCCCATAAGAGTTTCTCAAAACTCTTACTAGAATTTCTTTTTGAAAGCATATTGATTGAGCAATAGAATAACTTCATGGTCAATCTTTGTGAGCAATCGATTCTCTCATATCATATTTGTTACATCAGTCTTCCAAACCATAAACGCAATCCTAAATTGATCGCATTACTCTTTCTATGATTTCTGAATCAATTTAGGGAGCAAATGTAACACAAGCTCGAATAGGATACAAATGCTCCGGAACAACCTAGTTTTTGCTATAATTGGAGCTTCTCCTTCTCTACTAGTGAGATTTCACATTTGAACTCTTATCAAAGAATCTATTGCTACACACAGTGTTTTTTAATCTAAGTATAGTCACTTCATATACTACCACATTTTTCCTCTATCAAATGGTTGTCTCTAGTTGTTGCAATAATTCTGCTGCCATTACCAAACCAACCGGTCAACCATGAGAGGATACAAATGCTCCAAGAAACAAACCTACGTTCCGCTCTGATTGGAGCTTCTCCTATTCAACTATCAAGATCTCACATTTGAACTCTTATCAAATAATCCATGACTACACTCAAAGTGAATTTTATACTACGACATTTTTCTCTATCAAATGTTTGTCTCTAGTTGTTGCAGTAATTCTACTGCCATTACCAAACCAACCAGCATTCCTTGCAAAGAACGCATTTTATTTTTGCATTCTTTAATATCAGCAAGAAAACAAAAATTATTATCTTTCTTACTCCTTCCATACCCCATATACCAACAATTCGAATATCATTAATACTCATCCATAACAAGGATTTCACTCTCGGTAAATCAACATTTATACCCCCAACATCTCGAGAAGATGATAAGAGAAGCTTACGTGATGAAGAAATTTGACCAACAATCGAGTTAATGCTCCCTGATTCAACCCTACAAGAACAACAAGATTGTTAACAAGATTTAGAACTACTTCCCTACAATTGGCATCCATAAATCTAACAAAATCCTAAGCACATCAATATGATAAAAAGGACAAAATCGAATTAAAATGAATGAAAGCATGATTTCCAATTGATAATACATATATAATCTCTCGATTCTAAGATGATTTAGTGCTGATTCTGTTTTCAAACTGCTTTCAAGTTCCAACAAGCAAATCGATATATAATACTAGTTATAGTGTTACTATTTTTTAACTCACCGATTGGGTATGTCAAAGCCTTTTAGATTAGCCATTTTTTATGGATCCAGATCGTATTTACATGGAGGAACTAGTGAAATACTGGGAAAAGAAGAAGATGCCATGAAAATGGAGAAATAGTGTTTGATTCTGATTTTAGGTAAGGTCATGATGACTATATATCCACAAGAAAAAATGACTATAATACCCTGTAATTCACTTTACCCAATGCACAACTAAAAGTACAAACCAGTGAGGCTGAAAATAATAATTAAAAAAAGAATTTATTTTAAAATATTATTTAAACCATCAATTTCTTAAAACAAGGAAATCATCCTATCTGGTAGGGTGTTTATTGGATGATTGAGTGATTAATTTTTAATTAATATTCGACCTATTGAATTTTTAAGTTTATTAATTTGTTACTCAATCTATAAGATATCGATTGGGTTAGCACTTAAAGGCGGTTATCGGAGTGTATTAGTCAACCTCTATCCTTTTTTGTATGAATGTACCTTTAAAAAATGATGACTTTTTATTTAAAGAAAAAATGATCAAAAGCCCCTCCAACCTATACTCGAAATTTCAACTACACACTTTAACTTCACAGATGTCGCATTATCCACCTAAACTATATTTTTATCTATTTTCTACACACTAAGTGCTAACCTCAACACATAAATCAAATAAGTCAAGTTACTGATTCCATGCGCTGGGACCCACACCTAGAAACTCCCGTTTCTTATTTTTCTCCCTTTTCTTGTTTTTTCCTTCCATTTCTCCTTAAACTGAAAGAAGAACAAAGGAAGCAAGAAAATTTTAAAACCCTCTTTTCATCTCCTTCTCCACTTTTGGTTATAATCAAACGACTGCATCGACAAAAGTAAGAGCATTTACATCAGACGATTCTGCATTATCAAGTGATATCACCAAAATCTTCTTCCCGAATTTAATTTCGACCAAAAAGTTTGCAAATTCAGCAAAAATTCGTGTTTGCATCTCACTACAACTTTGAGCATTGGATTTGATTCATCCATTCAAAGCGTATTCAAGTTTTCATTTGTCATTTTTGATGAATTTCGAGAAAATTCAAACTTCTAATTAGAAACCTAAATAAGAAATTAGATCAGATTACAAACCCAAAATTCAAGATTTGAAGTACAAATGAACATTAACAACTAAACCCTACTTGATTTTGAGAGAAATTAGTGAACTAAAGAAACAAGGATTAATGGTGTGTGTGTGTGGTGGGAGGGGGGGGAGGGAGGAGGAGGGGAGAAGAAGTAATGGGTATTTACTGTAGGAGAAGGGGAAAATTTTTCATCAAATTTTGCTTCAAACGCACCTAGAGACGGTAACAACACCTCCCATGACAGGTCAGCACTTAGGTGGATAGAAAATAGATAAAAATATAGTTTAGGTGGGTAATGAAACACCCGTGAAGTTGGAGTGTGTAGTTGGAATTTCGAGTATAGGTTGAGGGGGCTTTTGATCATTTTCTCTATCTTAAATGCAATTAAATTATAAAATTCTTCCATATTTTTTTTTTATAGTAATGTAATAATTAATAATAAAAAGGTAAAAAGGTATTCAAATTTTTGGGTTTTAAGACTTTTGAACTAACAATATATAATTATATATTAATAAATACTTAAATTTAAAATTGTATGTATGTATATATGGTAAATCTGGATGGGTTACCGTTTATCCGATAAGGAACTAAAATAATCGTCCTTACACCAATAAATCATTGATTATAAAATTCTAATCCGTTCATCGATCATTAATTTGATAAACCAATATCAATAAGCCAATAAAACAGTTATATTGTTGGGTTTATCCGATAAGGAAATAAAATAATCGTCCTTACACCAATAAATCATTAATTATAAAATTCTAATCCGTTCATCGATCATTAATTTGATAATCCAATATCAATAAGCCAATAAGACAGTTATATTGTTGGCTTTTCGTTTACGGTTCAATTTCGAATACCCCTATGCCGGAGTGAATATTATAGACCAGAGGATCTGATGATCGACAATTGTTCGAGGCTACAAGCTCAGTGGTATAGCGCACCCTTAACAATTGTGTTATTGTGCCTAAATAGAGAGGGCTCATCTATTCATAATTTCTTCCTTCAACATTAGAAAGATGAACAAATACGAGAGAAGAGAAAATAGAGATGAACAAATACAAAATAGAGGCCAAATCTATTACTTGTATCCAAAATCAGATGTTTTCAAAAGAAAAATTATTTTGCCAGAAGCAAAAACGACTCATTTTACTATAAGCTAAAATCAAACAGCATCAACAATAAATCTCTTTTTCAGGAATTGAGAAAGGAAATGCAAAAAGCTTAAGCAATAGTTTTCGATCACTAACAAATCTGTTGTGGCCCAAACATAAACTAGGAATTATTTTCTTCCAAAACATTACCTGATGAACTTTGACATTCAACAACCCATTTTGTACCCCTACAACAACTCAAAGAAACGCTGAGGGGGAAAATACATGCTCCCTACAACAGAGAGTCAAAGCAACACAGAAATGATGCATGCAGTAAATACCCTCAAATCCATCAAAACTACTGAGCCTATTGCAATTGAAAATATCAATATGACAAAAAAGAAACATAGCTAAAAAGTGAAGTAAAATATAAATAATAGCTAAGATGATATCAACATGACCTATGAGATTATGGCTGAAAAGAAAATTCTATAATGGACTTTGCAATTTTGCTTCTTTCTTGTAAAATTGACCAAAACAACTTAAAACCTTCTCTTTCCTTTTCAATCGAGCACTGGAAAGGAAAAGCACAAAAAAGAATTTCCAAAAAGAAGCAATTTGCCCAACATCATCCACTCCAGACTAACATTTTCCTAACTTTCTAATTATAAAACGCTACCTTATCTTTCTTTTGAGCCAGCAAGACAGCAGGAGAATAACTTATTTCTCTTCTCTGCACCTTCAAAATTCCAAAAGCCACCCTCCACTTGTGAATAGATACATCACAGATCCTCCAAACAAAAAGAGACCATTAAAAAAAGAAAAGAAAAGGACATGTATCTCTTGACACGCCAAACTGTATACATCCCCCATATAGGTGAGAAATCACTATATTCAAGCATCAGATTCAGATGAAGTCGAATTGGAAGAGGCATTTCCAGGATTAGTAGCAAAGTGCAACTCAGGAAGCACCAAACACTTTGGCGGGGCACCTTTGTAAGCCTTCAAGGATGGCTTCAGTTTCATGTACTGCAATTGCAGGGGTTGTATTACAAAATTAGTCAAACAGAGTCAGCCAAAAAGGATCTTTCTTTTCAATGTAAATTTTGACTTTAAATTGAGACCCCCCTTTACCCCCCCCCCCCCCACCAAAAGGTTACTTAACACTGCTTCAAAATTAAGTCAAACAAAGCATGTCTAATTTCAGAAATAGATTGCAAGTCCCGCAACAGAACAACATAAAAGGATAGCATCTATTAAGAACTGCAGACAACTAGCTTTCTACGGTCATATTAAGGTACATCATGCAATGAAACACTCTGTTTCAAACTTAATAATGGAATATCTTTAACCTAACTAATGTCACTTTGCAAGTGATATATAGCATACAAAAATAGCAGTTAGAGTTAATTACCTCCTGATAAAAAGCATTAATTTCTTCCTCTTTCAGGCTTTCCTCTTCCGCAGCATTTTCATCCCAACCAAGAGAACGTAGGAAAGCAACCTCTTTTTCATTTAGATATACCGATCCATTTATGGGCGAGTTGTTCTCCTCAACATCATTATGTCTTTGAACATGGTTTTGAGCTTCATGAGGGTATCCATTGCTGGTTCTCTCACTTCCATTTTCGGAAACACAAGGACTCAAAGAAGCACTATTCTCATCTTTAGTTTTGAGACAAGACTGCTCCCTACTGTTAGATGGAGCCATACCAGAATATGGAAGGGCAGTAGAAGAATTTGAAGTCTTCTTCCTCATTAAATTGAAAAAATCACTCCTGCTTTGGGCTTGAGAAAGAGAATATCTCTTCTCTGCAGGAAACCGTGGCTTCAGTGACAATGCGACAGCCTTGGTTTCAAGGGAAGCTACCCTTGAAGTTGGACTGGTCACAACAGGAGGGCAATTAGCTAGTCTATTGCCAGTGTTGTTAGCTGGAGTTGATGCTTCTTTTGACAGAGAGGTGACACCATTTTCTCGTCCTAACTTCAGAACCAGAAGAGTTTTGCTATGAGAGGTAGCTGGAGCCGCAGCTCTCTCTTGTCCATTACGAGCCTGATTAGCAAGTTGAGAGGAAGAAGGTTGTTGCATACTCTTAGCTATTCCAACAATCTCATTTGTCCTAGCTATGGATTTTGGTTGCTTTGATTTATCAGCAGAACTGGGTACCTGGAAATAATTGCTTCCCATTAACATAGAAATCAACCATCCATTAAGCCAAACCCTTTGTATGTATATCTATATCCAAAATACTAGAGGATAATACAACTAAAATTGAAAATAAAGCTTCCCCAATAGAATTAATATGAGAGATGATTTTCAGCCTATCTCATTTTAAGTAGACATCCTGCTTTCTCTTTTCTACATGAAGACACAAAAACTAAAATGCAATGTGTGCTTAGGAAATAAAAAAGGCTAAAGTGTGGCTCAGTAATGTGATTCCTTTAGAGACAACGAAAGAACAAACAAGTTGTGGAAAACAAACAAAGGGAAGGAAATACAAAACCATTGGCCAAGAGAGATTCACAGAGAAATGTTATTAGGTATTATGCCCTTAAATATGATTTAGTGTGTTGAACTTCAGAGGAGGGCAGACAATAGGTCAAATATTATCAAGTAACCATTTAATTTCTAATACTTCTATCTTTTGAAAGAACATTAATGAGACTACATAATCCACCAATCAATGAATGTGATCAACCACAACACTACAACAATATATTGGGGGGGGATAAAGCCCAGGGTCATTATACACAATTCATAATCATTTAATACATGACTCTGGTGGCCCCTGAAATAAATTAGCAACATTATCCAGTTAATTACACCTCAGAAGTCCCCCCCCCCCTCCCCCCCCCCCCCAATTAACCTTTTAGAGATTTGGATCCTGCAGAGCATCATATAATTGCCATTTTTTCTCAAGTAAAAGCTAGGTCTCTAGCTTC